AAAAAAATTGTAAATGCTAATAACAAGTACAATTTTCTATAAGTCCGACCACACTCTAGATACGACACGTGACCCGCTATATCTCCTCATCCCCTTGACCTTTAATCACCAAAATTTACTAATATTAATGCCCCTAATACATAAAAGTTTCTACAAAATTTCAGAAATTTTCGACAAAAAGCAGAGGAGTTATTAAGCTTTAAACAGGTTAAACAAATTCGTGCTCACCCACACTAATAGAGAAATTATGCCAAAATTTTTTTTTTTTTTTTTTTTTTGCTTCCTTGAAAAGTGCATCCAACACTAACAAAGAGACGGAAGATTTAGTCGGAGGATTCGTTGATAGGTGAACGGTGATTGGACAGCGGTTGGTGACGTTACGTGCATGACGTGTCGACGTGCATGAGACGGCATCCTAGCAACAAGAACCGATGACAACCAAACTGGATACTAAAGGTTTAATATCTTCCCGCATTTGTACATTTTTGTTAGTTTTAGTTGAATCAACGAAGCTGTAATCAATGACATTGAAGGAAAGTAAGTGCGTTTGGTCGTATGTACAGTGTAAGCTAGCATGCACTAGCTCCTTTGTTAGGCTTAGAACACAATGTCCACGAGTCTGAAACCGACGATGCCGCTTTCACGGACCCGATCATTGATTGCCAATATAAATGGCACGACAACAACGACGACGACGACATCCAGCGATTCGTTTCTACCACAGATCAACGAGAAGACTCATCTACCGCCCATCAAGAGCCAGACCATCGGCGGTTTTAAAAGCGGTTATCAAGTGTTGCAGTTATTCGAAGACCAACCGGTTAGCTATCGCAGTCAAAATGGCGATTTACAGTCTAAAACGACAGTACTACCAGAAGTCCGTCCCGTAACTAGTATAGACAGTACGAGCAACAAAAATGCAACTTCCACCACCAAATCAAAGACTTTGGTAGCTACGCCCGAGCAGGTGATGAAATTATACATGCACAAACTGACACCCTACGAACACCAGGAGATATTTAACTATCCCCAGATTTATTTTATCGGTGCCAACGCCAAGAAGCGGCAGGGCGTCGTCGGCGCGCCCAATAACTGCGGTTACGACGACGACCAGGGATCCTACCTCCACGTGCCCCACGATCACATAGCCTACCGGTACGAGATGCTGAAAGTTATAGGAAAGGGAAGTTTCGGTCAGGTGATAAAGGCTTACGATCACAAGACTCATCAGCATGTGGCCTTAAAAATAGTTCGGAACGAAAAGAGGTTTCACAGACAGGCGCAGGAGGAGATACGTATCTTGGACCATTTGAGAAAGCAGGACAAAGACAATACGATGAATATCATTCACATGTTGGAACACTTTACATTCCGTAATCATACGTGTATCACATTTGAATTACTCAGTATTAATTTATATGAATTAATAAAGAAAAACAAATTCCAAGGATTTAGCCTACAGTTAGTTAGGAAATTTGCACATTCGCTTCTTTTGTGTCTGGATGCTTTGTATCGAAACAAGATAATTCACTGTGACTTAAAACCGGAGAACGTGTTGTTGAAACAGCCAGGTCGGAGCGGTATTAAAGTTATAGATTTCGGATCTAGTTGCTACGATCACCAGAGAGTTTATACTTATATTCAGTCGAGATTCTATCGAGCGCCGGAAGTGATACTGGGTGCAAAGTACGGTATGCCTATCGACATGTGGAGTCTTGGTTGCATATTAGCCGAATTATTGACTGGTTATCCTCTTTTGCCTGGTGAAGATGAAGCAGATCAGCTAGCTTGTATTGTCGAGTTATTGGGAATGCCTCCGCAAAAGTTATTAGATCAATCTAAACGTTCGAAAAATTTTGTAAGTTCTAAAGGATATCCTCGTTACTGTACGACGACTTCTCTTCCGGACGGATCCGTCGTGTTAAACGGCGGAAGGTCTAGACGCGGAAAAGTTCGCGGTCCGCCAGCTAGTAAAGACTGGGTGACGGCCCTTAAAGGATGTGACGATCCCTTATTTACAGATTTTTTAAAGAGATGCCTCGAATGGGATCCTAGTGTACGCATGACTCCTTCGTCGGCACTCCGGCACGCCTGGTTAAGACGAAGATTACCGAGGCCGCCTCAGAGTTCCAGTAACACCGCGGAAGAACAACAAGTAAGAAACGGAGTGTCGTCCGAAAATAATAGCGTGGGTACGACTCGCAGTAGTCTCATTACTAAAATGAACACAATAGGTGGTACGAAATCTCGGACTGTCGTAACTACAATAGGTGAAGATTCTTCGGCTACTATAATTGCTCATACCAAGTTGCCACAAATAGGTAATCCTGTCACTTAACCAAAATATTAATTAGTAATGCTAAATGTGTGTTGTGGTGGATTGAAATTTTTGCACGTGGAAGGTCACATTATACAACTGTTTTATTGGATGTGCTCTGTGTACTTATCAAAGTAATGCTTATTTGCCAATCTGTTTGAAGTGAAGTGACAATTTTCAGGTATTTCATTTCTTAGTAGTCTATTTGGTATTTTATAACAGCAGAGTTTATCTGTGTTATATTCAGCTTTTAAGATCACTGCCAAATTTATTTAGATAACTATGTAATTTTTAAGCTTCGAGGCGGGATTTTTCTGCTCTCGGCATTAAATAATTTACGGTAATTAAGTTTTAATTTTAAAATAGTCATAAAGTTAAGGACGGCGAGATAAATTCTTAATTTTAAAGTTTTTTTTTTCCATCAAAAATTTGTTTTAACTACTGTGTAATGGTTGTTTTAATGCATTATTTGCATTTGAAAATGTGCTAGTTTTATACAGTTTTAAAAAAATACGTTCATTCCTGAAATGTTAAAATATGTTTATGCAGTTTCCCAGACACATTCGGTGAAAAAAATTTAATTTAAATATGCCGATTTTAAGTACGACTCCTATTTTACAAAAAAAAAATACTCATTTGCTTTTAATTTAAATGCATTTCCAATATAATTAAACAATACACTTTATCAAAATATTAATTTATAAAAGTGATAATTCACACATTACAAAATCACAGTGTTGAATTTTAAAATATGACTTAAAAAATGAATTTATCAATCTAATTTTTAACCTATAAATTATATACAAAATTATGCCACGTACTTCCGAGTAGATTTATATATTATTTTAAAATAGAATGTATTTAAATTTAAAGTCAAATTAATTTGTAAAATGAACTTTTACAAACAAAAATGATGACGACTATTAGGATAATATCATTATATTTTTTTAATTAAAAAAAAAATGCATTAAATTGTTACTAAGTTTGAAATATTCAATTTGCTATGCAAGTTTATATATATATAAACAAATATTGAATGCTATCCCATCTTTAATATTTGATTCTTTTAACTACCAAAAAATTTAATTTATAATGACGACGAATAATTCGAACATTTAAAGTCAATAAAATAATATGCAAAGATTTAAAAATGTTTTAAAAAATATATATATATTGAAGTTGATAAAATATATTTTATTTTAAATTCAAACAATGTAATTTTTTTAGTATTGGGACCATCATATATTTTAGGGCAGTAATAACAAACCAACCATTTGGTACCACTGCCAAATTTGGCACCAACAAAAGGAACCATTTCAGAACATTAAATTTGTCTTATTATATATATATATACATGGTGCCAGATATTAATTAAAAGGGGGGTGTGTTATTACTGTTTTTAGAGGTAACTGAGCCATTGCAGCTTAAAAATAAACATTAACAATAATAATAATAAGATGCCTTATATATTAAGTTGTGTTAATTTAATGGAGAATTGAGTTTATTAATTTAGTTTCCACACTAAAATTTTCAATCAAAATTAATGATTAGTTGCAATTATTGTTAATTATTGAGCTTTCCATTCAAAACGGTAGCTTATAGCGTAGTATAATTAGACATTTTGGATAAGGTAGTTCCTTTACGTTTCGTAGAATCCCGTTATAATGTGAATCATATATTTAAATTTTGCTTTTTTAATTTATTTTCTAATTAAAAGGAAGAAAAGATAAAGCCATTTTGTAATTACGAACAGTGCAGCTTAGAATAATTTTTTATAAGAGAAGACATTGATTGCACTCTAATTCTTAAACTAAAAAACAGTACTTAAAATTACATTTCATTGAAGTAAAAAGAAAAAGAAAGAATTTTTTGGTAGTAAATTAAAAGTATCAAATAAGAATAACAATAGATCTCAAAATGTGGATAGCTATTTTTGTCTTTGTTTTGACAATGTTAATTCCCTTGACACAAAATGCTTTCTTTTTGTTTCAAAATTTTGAGATTATGATTATCTTAAAATTGTACTTTAGATGTTTAAAACGAATTTGAGTTTATTACTTTATGTAATTTAATATATTTTCTTTGTGACAAAGAAAATTTTTAGATTTTTTTTTTCTTTTTTATTTATTTATTTTTAAGTTTTCTGTATGTCTAAATGCAGAAGTTATTATAACAATAATCTCTTTAAATGTAACAAAAATGAAATGGTTCTAAAATGTTTACTGTGATACACAATTCAAGTGATAACGTACAGAAATGCAAATATATAAAACAATAAAGTTAAGCATCACTCTTATTCTGTCGAAATATCAAAGAGACTGGATTAAAGGAAAGAACAACCAAACTTTTTTCTAAAAAAAAAAAATAAATAAATAAATAAAAAGTTTTTTTGCACTATTTAGCTAGTAATAAGAACTAGTCAAGAAAATGTGTGCAACTGCATGTGCAGAATTTCAGATACGGGTGATATCCTTATTTCAGTTTAAGTAGAAATGAATATCAAATTGAAATCAGTGTTACATCTTCCTTATCAATGTGTTATATTGACACAATTTCCTATGTCCATATTATGTAAATATTTCTGTATATAATCATACCATGTTATAGATATGTATGTCTAACCTGAAAGGCATGTGTCTGTATTGGGTTTTCACTCCCACTAGTTCATAGAAAAATTTGTTTGGTGTGATCCGCTAAGATTCACGACGGGGTCAAATCCAGTTCAAACCATTCTAAAAAAACCGTTGTGCTGGCCACATGCCATAATTCATCCGAATCATTTTGAAAAATCCATTTGCTCTGTACTAAAAAAGCAACATTATGGAATATCGGAAAGGTTTGATTCATTATGATTTGCAATATTGTATTTTAGATCCGGGCGGCGATCGTTCGGATCTCGGCTAATTGCTCACTGTCGTCTTGTATGCTTTGTGCTGTTCTAGCAATTAAGAATGTGTAAGAGGAAAAAAAAAAAAAAAGAAAAATGTATGCAGTGGACAACTGCCCAAATTCATATTTAAATAGTTTTCCTTTATACTCAGTAAAGAGATGTTGAACATTTCTGTGTTCTTGCATGGAATTTAGTTTTATTGTGTTATTTTTTTTTATTCACAAATAAACATTTTTGATGACATATTTGATTGTGAATGTACTAAAAAACAATTTTCATTGTAAGAATGCTTATTATTTTACATCATAAACTCCGAACAACAAAAAATTCTTTGCAAATTTCATCTTTTAAAAAAAAACTGCACTAAATATTTCACTTACATTAGTAATGCATTATATATTTTAAAATTGAGGTTACTGTACTAACTTCCTTTTTATTGATTATTTTCAAGTAGAAAATATATTTTTAAAAAATTAAATTAAATTAAATTTTATTATTTTTTTTGAATTAATAATCTAGTTTAAATTATAAAATTCAATAAATTTAAATCATTTCTATTTATAGTTAAATAATAAAATCTCTTTTAAAGATGGAATTATTTGCCATAATTTCAGACATTCTTTTAAAATTACATTTGTAATATTCTAATGAGTTTCTGGTTAAGATAATTACATATTCACATTACAAACGAGGAAGTCTGCTAAACCGACAGTAGTAAATGATAGTAAGCCAAATGTTGTAGTAGTAAATCTTTAAACCTGGCCCTTCACCAAAAATAGTTTTAGGATAAAATACCGTTTACTCTTTTAGAAAAGGACACAGTCGACCTGTTTTATCTGAACCGGTGATAGATAGTACTTTATACATTATTGGAAATCTAGTTTTGTACTATAGCTCGATATCAAAGCCATACAGTCACCATTGTTGACATAGGTACACGTGTCTCTCTAGGAAGGAACAGCTGCAGACTCTACTGACTGTCCTTTGCTGAATAATGACAGGTTATCGACACTATCATAAATCGTCGTCTCAGAATTTATAACACCTGGAAGTACTGTATTGCATGGGAGGGGGAAAAAAATGGTTCAATGAGATGTAGCAATCCTAGATACCTTAAAAAAAAAATCTAATTTTTCGATATACATGTATTGATTTTTGTATAATCTCATTACAGTTTCGTGGATATAGATTTTTTTTTAAAGTTTTTAACGTAAATTAATTTAATAATAATGCATATTTCGTTAATTTAACGTTCCAGTTTTGCAATAAAGCACCCCGTTCAGTTGATCTAACTGTGCTGATCTGGATGGATGAGCTTTCTTCAGCTGTAAAGGTTAAAAAATATTGGCCGAGAAACACCATTACCCAAGTGTTACGAATTATTCAGAATTTATACCTTCCAGCATCATTAATTATCAAGCATAAATTCTTTTTCGTATCCTATAACGTACGATTTTATTTTTATTCACGTGTACGAAATTCTATTACCCAGTTTCATCCGAAAGAAAGAAAAAAATAAATAAGTTGTACATGCAACTGATGTTTTTAATGGTTAAAACATTGTATACCTTCAGCAATAACAATCTTAAATTATTAGATAAGATTGTTCTAAATACAAAAATCTATGTTTATACACACATACAAAAAAAGAGTAGCATTGACCAACAAAATGTTATATACCTCGAAGGTTGTGTCTATCTATAATGAGGTCGGAAATTATCTTAGTGATATTTTTGAAATTGCTTCGAACTTGGAATGTTCTTAGAAACGATGGCGTCAAACTTGACGTCATTCGCTGATAATTCAAACTTACTTATTTTTTTTTTTAACATGTAGTAAAGGAAGTTAAGCTAAGGGAATCGTTTCTTTTATCAATATCTTTTTAGTATATAAAAGAGGTTCACCTTGAATTTAATTCTGTCCATTTTTGATATAAGTCTCTCTCTCTCTCTCTCTCTTATTGTTGTTGATAAATAGACAATTCAACAATTTTATTGTTTCATTATTATAATGTATTTTTGTAGTTTTGGTCTTAAGTTTTAGCTCTAAATTTTTTACATTTACCGCTTATATTTACTGTTCTAAAATGATTAAAAACTAATAATAAATTTCTTCTAAAAGATCTAAAATTTAACAACTTTTTAGTGTTTTAGATTTTTTTTAATATGGATTTAAAACTTATATTTTTATATATTAAGTTTTAGAGCATAGATTAAAGATGTGAAATTTTTTAGACAATTTTATTGTTCTGTTCTTTATTATATTGAAAAGTATTTTTCGTTATATTTTGCTGAAACTTTTGCAGTTTTGGAGCATTATATTAAGCGATTAAAATATGTAATAAATTTTGCTTAAGAGATCCAAAAATTTCATAAAGTTTTAAGAGTTTTAAAGGCACAAAACTTTGTAATTTTAGAACAGTAAACACCTTAAGTGTGTTATAAAATACTTGAAAACTGAATTTTAGAGAGAAGTTTAAAGGTCTAAAAAAACTACTTGACACATTTGACACAATATCATTATTGTTATTTTCTATAAAAATATTAATTTTAGCCTTCACCTATATATTGACTATTGACTTAATAAAAATATATTATTATTATTATATTGTCGTTTCCATTTTTAATATTATTAGTGATACGGTATAGAATTTTTATCATAGTTTCGCAAACTGTATACGGTACATATTTATAGTTTGTAAGAGGTCTTTATAACAGTCTTTTATATGCATAATTTATAGAAAAATACATACATAAATCAATGCAATAAACAGGGAGTTATTAAAATTTTTACTGGAATTCGGGGTGGAGTCACAGTTCTTTAAACTAAATAATAACCCACGCTTTGGGATCCATGAAAAATTACTTAAAATGTCCTTCAAATTATTGATACATAAGTTAGTAGTCGATGATCTTTTTTAAGTATTTTAATT